ATATTGGTCCTGACGTCGAGGAAAATCATCATCATCATCATCATACCCTCCTCCTCTACTTCCTCCTCCTCCTCTTCCTCCTCTTGCTCCTGCTCCTCGTCTTCCTCCTTCTCCTCCAACTCCTCCTCCTCCTCCAACTCCTCCTCCTCCTCCACCTCCTCCCTCCTCCTCCTCCTCCTCCTCCTCCTCCTCCCTCCTCCTCCTCCTCCTCCTCCTCCTCCTTTTCCTCCTCCTCCTCCTCCTCTTCCTCCTCCTCCTCCTTTTCCTCCTCCTCCTCCTCCTCCTCCTCCTCCTCCTCCTCCTCGCTTCTCACGTCTCACGTCTCACGTCTCACGTCTCACGTCTCACGTCTCACGTCTCACGTCTCACTCCTCCTCAGGCGGGCAGGAGAAGGGAAGAAGGAAGGCGAGGAGAAGAAGGAGGGGGGTGGAGAGCGGGGAGGGGGAGGAGGAGAATGAGGATGAGGATGAGGATGAGAATGAGGATGAGGATGAGAATGAGGATGAGGATGAGGATGAGGATGAGGATGAGGATGAGGATGATAATGATGATTATAATGATGACGATGCTGATGATGGTGATGATGAGGGTGATGATGACGATGATGATGATGATGATGATGATGATGATGATGAGGAGGAGGAGGAGGAGGAGGAGGAGGAGGAGGAGGATGCTGCTTTTACTGTTGAGAAGGAGGAGGAGGAGGAGGAGAAGGGAGAAGGAGGAGGAGGGAGGACGGCGGGCGGCGGACGGACTCCTCAGTCACTGGTTATGCTCTGGTACTAGAAGGAATCAATGTGTATTCCGCAGAAGGAAACAAATGGTAACCGGCCACAAAAGAAATCCTTTAGCAGGCCGCCACAAAAGAAATTCTTGAGAATGTAATCACAAGAAGAACCTTTCTACAAGCCGCCACAAAAGGAGTTCTTGTGTAATCCGCCACGAGGGGACTCCTTCTGTAAGCCACCACACAAGGAATCTGTGCACAATCCCCAACAGTAGGTTTCACCTCCTCCTCATGCTCCTCCTCCTCCTCCTCCTCCTCCTCCTCCTCCTTCTCCTCCTTCGCATTCTCTTTCGGTGGTTCTCTTCATCACGGCGCCGATGATTGCAACCGACCCCTATTATACACAGGTATGGTTTTTGTTGGTCGGTGATCCCACCAAACCCCACTATACACAGGTTTCTCTGGTTTCTCTGGCTTCCAGGATGCCCGCGACCTTGGCCAGGAAGGCTTGCGGGGTGAGCCCGCCAAATCTTCGGCAAGAGCTACCTTTGGTACGCGGCTTGCCGGTCGATGCGCGCGCTGCATCCAGTGGCCTGCGTGCCTGGCCTGGGCCCGCCGCGCCCCCCGGAAAGCCGCGCACCGACGCTCCCTCCGACGAAAGGTCGCTCTCTCACTGAAGGGGCCCTGGGACACACAAATAAATGCACACAGATGACCAGATTCCCCATGTTGTCCAATATTTTCTGGGTTTCGGTCTTCCCCCCACTTCCCATATTTTCACATACTTTCTGGGAATCGACGATTCATGGTGTCTGTGTGTGTGTTTCTCCCCTCCTGAGTTACGTGTGGCTGGCTCTTCCCTGGGGGCCCGCTCTTCCTCGTGCGCCGCTCTCTGGACCGCCCTGGGGCCCTGTGGGAGCCCCCCCGTGGCCCAAGATTGCCCCCCAAAAAAAACCTTTCGCGGAACCACCAGAAAATGCTTCCAACAAATCAACCTCCTCCCTCCTCCCTCCTCCCTCCTCCCTCCTCCCTCCTCCCTCCTCCCTCCTCCCTCCCTCCCTCCTCCATCCTCCCTCCTCCCTCCTCCCTCATCCCTCCCTCCCTCCCTCCCTCCCTCCGTCCTTCCCTCCTCCCTCCCTCCCTCCCTCGAGCCAGCCCTCAGCGCCTGCCAGCGCACGGTGCATCGACCTGCCGGGCCGGACATTGCTCCAAACAGAGGCCTCCCAGATGGAGTCTCAGCAGATGGGGTCGAAGGACCGCGCCGCACCGCCAATGCATCGCCGAATGCATCGGCGCCGCACCAGCGATGGACTGGCGACGTCGGCGATGCATCGGCGACGTGGGCGCGGAGAAAATCGGACTCCGCATCGAGCCGCATCCTCCGACCCATCTACTCCGACCCCATCTAGGAGGCCTGGACCAAAAGGCCTTCCATCGCGATGCTTGCTTTCAGGCGCGGGGATGTCTGGGGAGAGGCGGGAGGGGGGGGGCAGCATGAGGTCGGGCATGTCCTCCTCCAGGCGGATTTTTGTGGCGAACCTAAAAGATACCCCAAACAGATTCAAAGAGAATCCAAAAAACGAATCGAAAATTCGCCCCCTGACGATTCTAAACTAGTCTTGAAGATTCCTCCTGCAGAGGGGCAGGCCCGACGAAGGCCTGCAGCGCCGCGCGCGCCCTCCAGCGGAGAGGGCCGCGGCGGCCCACGTGAGCCCGCACGAGCCCGCGGGAGCCAAAAATGTTCAGACAGAATCCAAAACAGAATCAAAAACTCGCCCCCTGACTATTCTAACCTGTGTTCGAAGACTCCTCCTGCAGAGGGGCGGGCCCGACGGAGGCCCGCGGGCGCCGCGCGCGCCCTCCGAGACGGAGAGGGCCGCGGCGGCACACAGGGAGCCCGCGCGAGAGTCCAAAAAATCATCGAAAACTCGCCCCCTGACGATTCTAAACTATCAGGGGGACGTAAGACCTGGGTACAGGGGACTCGGAAATCCCCGACGAGGTCGTCAAAAAATGACGAGGCCGAGCCTGCATTTTGACGAGGCCTCCCGCTGCAGACATCCCACGAAACTCCTCCTCGTCAAAATCCGAGGCGCGGTCGTCAAAAAACGATGGCGAACCCGAGTCCTGGCAAACCCGGGTCTTACGCTCCCCCGAAACTAGTTCTGAAGGTTCCTCCCTGCAGAGGGGCAGGCCCGACAAGAGGCCCGCAGCGCCGCGCGCGCGCGCCCTCCGAGGCGGAGGAGGGCCGCGGCGGCCCACCGCACGAGCCCGCGGGAGCCGGCACGCGCTCTTGCCGGGCCAGCGGCGCGCACACCCGCTCGCCTGAGGTCGGGCAGGTCCTCCTACGGGCGAATGTTCGACGAACGAATCACTGTTTTTAAAGAAAAAAGGAATAACAAAAAAAAAAACGACAAAGAGCAAAAAAAACAAAACAAACAAAAAAAACATAAGGTGAAAAAATACTCAAAAAATAGTCCCTGGACTATTTTGGGATTTGCTGTTTGACTATTCTGGGGGGTCTCCTTTTTCTTTTTCGTCGAAAATCCCCCTGTAGGGGGACAGGCCCGACTTAACCTTAGGTCGGGCATGTCCTCCTACAGGCGAATTTTGGGAGAACGCTAAAAATCTGTCAAACAAATATTCAAGAATGTTCGAAGCAATATCGACAAAAAAACGTCCCCTGGCTATTCTTTGGACTACCTTTGAAAATTCCTCCTGTAGAAGGACATGCCCGACTTAACGCTCGCCCCTCGCCGTCCTCCGGGGGGGGGGCTCCTGTCCTTCTGCGAGCCTCCCCGAAGATCGGGGGGCGCCAACCGCCATCAGAGCCGGAGAGGCGTTGCAGGCTCGGGCTCGGGGGACTCGGGCTGGCCCGACGGGGCCTTCGGGAGAAGGGCGGGGCGCAGCCCGAAGTGGAACCCGGGACCCCGCTGCCAGCAGCCCCCGAGAACTGGGCCGCGAGAACAAACCGACTACCTACCAGACCAGCCCAACCCAACCCGAAGACCCGAATTTCGGGTTGGGGGGGGTCAGGGTTCCACATGTGCTTTTCCGATGTTTCCCGACCCCCCCCCCCCCCACTGGAAACCGCGGGTAAATCTGAGCCTTCGGGTTGGGTCGGGGTGGTTTGGTGGGTGGTGACAAGCGGGGCCTGCCCGGCCAAGGAAGCGCCGGCGGGCCCGAGCTCCGGCGACACAGCCTCTGCGGGTGTCCGCGCGCACCTCCCGGGCCGGCGCTGGGCACCCTCCCCTGGCCTTCCAGGAGGGCTACCAAATAGCAGGCGACTTCAAAAAACCTGTCCCAGAGCTACTCTATACGTCTTGGCTTTAGGCTGCTTCGTGCCCTTTTTTAGGTTTTTAGGCCTCCCGTGCTGAAAAATAGAGCTCTCTGGAAGGTCAGGGTCGGGGCGTCGCCTTTGGCCGCGCCGGTCCGAGCCTGCCCGCGCGGACCTCGGGGAGCGTCTGCTGCTGCTGCCCGCGGCCCCCCTCCGCCGGCACCGGCCCTGGCTGGGCGCTCCCAGGGCCCAGGAGCTGCCCGCGTGCCCCGCCGACCCGGCCGGGGCCCGGGCGCGTGCCGGCGGATGCGGCAGGGGCTCGCGCCGCGATGGCGCGGGTGCTGGCGCCTGGCGCCGCGCGGATCGCACAGCCTTGGACGATCGCAGCTTGCCGATGGCGCAGGTTGCTCGACCTCGGCCGCTGCGGGGCCACCGGCGGCGTTCCAACCTGCACGCCCGCGAGGGGGTCGCCGCCGCGCCGACGCGGCGAGAGCCTGCCGTGGTTGACGCCCCCCGAAAGAAGCGGTACAATCGAAATGGGTACGGAAAGAACGGGTGCGAAGACCGACAGCAGTTCCTGCTCAGCTTGGACCGGATGCGCTGTCGGTGTCGCCGCGGACGTGGTCCATCCGAGGCAGCAGAACGTCGCCCGCCCAAACGGCGGCCGCTGTCGGTTTTTTTGGACAACACTTCTCTAAAGACCTCTCAACTGGGGTCCGAGAAGATGGGGTCGGGAGACCGCGCCGCATCGCCGATGCATCGCCGATGCATTGGCGATGCATCGCCGCCGTCGGCGTAGCGAAGATCGGGCTCCGCATCGAGCCACATCGCCGATGCATCGGCGATGCAGAGCGATCCTCCGACCCCACCTTCTCGGAACCCATATTGGAGTCCAGGTTGCTGATGGGCACCGTACCATTATTCCCGTACCCCATTCGGGCGTCCAAAAGAAGGACGCCCACCGCGACGATGCACGCGCCCGCAGGCCTCCTCAGCCTAGGCCGCAGCGCCGCCCTCGGGCGCGGCTGCCGGCGCGGCCGCTGGTGCAGCCGTCGGTGCAGCCGCCGGCGGCGCGCTCGCTGGTGGCGCGGCCATCCTGGCCTCGGTGGTGTCGAGCGGCGAACGTATCCATAGCCGCGCGCTCTGGGCCTGGATTTCCCGCGGGTGCGCGGCCGCACAGGCACGTCCCGCGCGTGGCATCCGCGAAGCGACGCCCCGTGTCCGCGGGGGCGCGGCCCCAGGGGCCTGGCCCGCGAGGCCGTGGCTGCGGATACCTGCTCCCGCAGGGGGAAACGCAAAGCTCGGGCTCAGGGGGGGCTCGGAGTGGCCTGACGGTGCCACACTCAAGGCTCGGGCTCAGGGGGGGAAACGCAAGGCTCGGGCTCAGGGGGAAACGCAAGGCTCGGGCTGCAGGCTCGGATTGGCCTGCAGGGGGAAACGCAAGGCTCGGGCTCCAGGGGGGCTCGGAGTGGCCTGACGGTGCCAGACTCAGAGTGACGAGACCCAGTCTGAAATTTGGCGCGAGCTCCCGCTGCAGACATCCCACGGAAACTGCACCGCCAGAATCGAGAGCGCGCCCGGCAACAGGCGGCGGCAGACCCGGGCCCTGGCGCACTCGAGCCTTACGCCTCCCCGACTCTCGCCCACGCATCCCCGCCTCGAAGGTGTCGAGCTTGTCGCAGATGCGCTTCAGCTGCTCCACGATGGGGTCTTCTGGCACCACCTCCGCCCGCACGCCCCAGGCCCTCCCCCCACCGCGTGGCAGAGAGCACGGCGGGCAGCGCTCTGCCGTCCTCAACGCGACGGACTGCGATAAAACAGCTGAGGGCGAACAATTTATAGACTGATCTGGACTCGATCTGCTATTCGGAAGTGTGGGAATCTGTTCGGGAAGGGATTTTGAGGGAACAGTCAACGTCTCCTCTGGGGTCCCCTGCCAGGACCTGGCGGGGTGAAATCACCACTCCGTGCGGAGGAGCCGGACCCCGGGGAGGGGGCAGGGTCAGTCAGTGATCGAAGCGGGCAACGCGACCGGATCGGGACGTGCGTCGGGTCGGGCCGCATCGGCACCGAGTCGAGGTCGCAGCGGATCGGCTGCGCCAGGACGCACAACAGCTCCGTGCAAGCACCAGCCCGCATCGGATCGTCGCAGCATCGGAATCGAATCAGACCAAACCAGTCAGAATCGATACGGAACCAGACCGATGGGATCGAAATGGACCCTCAGGGTCGAGACCTTTAGGAGTCCTCGTGCGAACAAAATGCGTCGGGAGCCCAGGGCGCCCATGCTGCCCCACCGAGAACCACATACAACTCTGAACACAACCAGCTCATAAAATGGTTGACGCTCCCCTTCGATGTCGCCCTCGATCTGGGCGGGTGCGACTCGGAAGGTCCACGATGACCAACATTTGAAGGGGAGCGCCAACGAGTACTTCGCGCGCAATGCAAACCCAGAACACCAGATGCAAAAGTCCACTGCGCATCGCATGTTTGAAATTAGGGCTTGTCGAGGGTGGTAGGCGCTCCCTCGCGGTTGCGGGGAGCGGCCCGTCTGCCAAGACTCGACTGCAAGCTGCCGCGAGGGAGCGCAGCTGCCCGCGAAGAGGGCGCAATGGCTCGGACAAGTGGCGTGGCGGCACCGTCAAGCGGGCATCCCAGACAGCCCAATACGTGACGAGGGGAACTGACCTGCTTCCAGGCCACACACACACACACACACACACACGCACACCCTTGTGGTGTCGCCACCACGCGCGCAGCGACGCGGCGGAGGCAGTCGCGCAGGGGAGCGGAGAGAGGATGCCGGCAGGCCCAGCAGGACCGTCGAGAGACGGCGGGGGGGGCAGGAGGTGGTTCTGTGGTAATCCATGGGAGCCTCCCATGTCATCCTGTTGGCTCTTGCGAATCGACGCTCACCGACGCTACTCGACGCTAATCGACACAACATCGGCGCCACATCGACGCCAACCGACGCTGGATCAGCGCTCTCCCATCTGCTCCCAGACGCGAGCGCACGCGAACACACTCTGAGGACTGAGCTCCGAAGACGTACAAGGATCCCATGCATTTGCTACCGCCAGGTGGAGACGGGGGCAGGAGACGAAGCAGGGCGGAGAAGCTGCCGAGCAGCGCCCAGGCCGGCCCGAGCGGCCGAAGGCATCCGAGAGCGGGCAAGACGGCCAGGCGGACGGAGGCAAAGAGGAGATGGCCCGCGGAGCGGCGGAAGCGACGGCCCGCGAGTGGCGCGGCGAGCAAGGCGTGAGAAGCGCGCAGGACGAAATCACCATGGCACGGAGGCCCGACACAGCAATGCTGCACTTGGAGGCTTGGGAAGGCGCACCAACACCAGCACAGGGGGTTTGCCTCCACCAGGGGAGGATGATCCTAGAATCTGGTGCTGGTTGGCACTGCTCCGGCCACCCAGAAGCCCCACTGTTACCAC